GGGGAAGGCAGTGGCGGTTCTATAGAGGAGGAGAGAGCATTGCATGCGAGAGAGCTGGGAGAGAGCTGTGGAGTAGACATGGGGCAAGAGGCAGATGAAGAGCCAGACGGTTGTTTGCCTCAGAAAGCCAGACAGGCACTAAGAAAGAATTCAGCCCCTTCAAGCCAGATAGTGAACACTCTCTTCAACCAGCCTCTCAGACAGGAGGCTGACACAGACTCTGGCACTTCATACGGGGTAGAGGACATGGATCTTAATGGAACCTACTACCAGAAAGAACCTTATCAACTGGACGCTGCTCGTGAGCGATCTCTCACCATATCCTCTCCCTTTCGTCACTCACCCTTCTCTTACAAGACCAAGACCATGGACCAAAATCAGAACTCCTCCCGGCCGAGGCCCCTCTCCCTCCTCCAGCACTCCCACTCAAACTCCCTCCCTCCTAAATTCCCTTCCCTCTCCCTGTCGCTTTCTCCCACCCCCCCATCTTCCCCTTCATGTGCCTCTCCACACTCCTCATCCTACCTCGTCCCCCGCCCTAACACCCCAAATTCCACCTCGCCCTCACCTTCTCTGCGCACACCGTCCTCATCTTTTAACTTTGACATTGCCGAGCCAGCAGGACCCCAAAAGAACCGCCCTTTCGTCTCACTGCCTTTAAATCTCCCTAGGGATGACTTGTTACCCCCCCTCGACCAACCTCTTCCCACCAGAGATTGGGTAACCATTGAAGGGGACTTTGTGCTGGTCCTGGCCCTTTATCAGACCCACCTCGGGGCTGATCTTCATGCTGCACCCCAGGCCAGGTTTGACGATGGGCTGATCCATCTGACCTTTGTGCGGGCGGGGATCTCCAGAGCCACTCTGCTGAGACTGTTCTTTGCCATGGAAAGAGGAACACACCACTCCGTCAGCTCGCCGTATGTGAGCCATGTTACCTGCAGGGCCTTCAGGCTGCAGCCTCTGTCTACACGGGGGACACTCACTGTGGATGGAGAACTGGTGCCCTATGGGCCACTTCAAGCGCAGGTCAGAAACGGGAAAACTGGTGCTTGGTACTGAATGTACTTGTCATAAAGTGCTGTAATTGAGTGTAGTAGCTGTGGGTGATTGGATAGGGGCTGACACTTATGTTAGGGCTTGTGATTACCTCTAGATCTACCTATACATAAAGCACATGCTTATGTTACTTGAATATGCTTCGTAGGGCTGTGCCAAGATCGTAGTGTTTTGTAATTTATGTCCTCCAGAAAAGACATTTTGTTGTGCAGAATTATGGTAAACATTTAAAATTTAGTTTGGCCCTTTGAGGACTAACAATAGACTGCAAACCAGGTATTTAGTTTTTAATGATTCATTCACATAGTTAACAATGATTCTTTTTTCCCGACTCGTAAGAAGGTATGTTGTTATCTTTAGCAGATGTACTGTTTGTTTCCACAGTAGGTATTAATGTTGTGATGTGATGTTGACGAGCTACTGCGAGTCTTATCATTATTAATCTTTTTCTCCCTCTCAATATTTCCCAGGTTCATCCTTCCATGGCTCGTCTCATCGTTGGTGACTCTGGGGTGAAGATTACCAGATTCTAATCAGGGATTGGTTGAGCTGATTGACAGATACAGTACTCTGCTGAATTATGTAATATATGTTGCCATGAGAGAGGGGGAGTGTCTGAGAGACTTAGAATACCCTGGATTGCTGGAAATGCTTTTGTGGGGTTTAATGAAAGGGATAACCCACGAGCCACGCATCACGAAGCATGACTGCAGGGATTTATAGCGAATTTGAAAATGGATGAAAAATGCGCCTCATTGCACAGCTGTTGGATTGCGCTTTGCGTACCCTGAGAAGCATAGGAACTGCACAGCCTGGGATAATAAGAGGGAAGAACAATCGAATGTTAATGGAGTATTTTTGTGCAGATAGTGCATGTGTTAGATGCATACATAGTAGTATGCATGCAGAGAAGCACTACCTGATTGTTGCCTTTCGATGAGATGGAAAGAAATCAGATTAAAATTAGAGAAAGTTCTTAAATATGACATGCTATTAAAAATACATTGAGATTTACTTAATTTAACACCCTCTGTCTTCACCACATGTCCAAATATTTGAGTATAAAAACTTCCGTCCCTAAAAGGAATGCCTTATCTGACACTGGACAGTATAGTTGTACCTTTGCCCTTTCTTATATAAGAAAGGGCAATCTTCTTTATCTCTAGCCACCTATGAGAGTGTCCGTCCACTACATAAATACAACGTACTGGTAGACCAACCTACCTACTGTTATCTTTGAACAGCCTACTCTCCACTGTTTTAAGCATCAGTGGAGAATACTGTGCATAAATGTACACTTTAATGACCTATTTCTTCATGCAAGTGACTCAGTGTAGAGGAGCGAGATCAAGCTTTTCAGGGTCATTACATTAGTAGGACAATGGAACCGTTGAACGGTGACCATTACTGACATTTTTACATAATCTGCCTGTTATTCTTAGCCAGTGGATGCACAATAATGATGTCAAGTGATATCAGACTTTGCAACATATTGAAATGTCTGAACAAAGCAAGCTTTTTTTCCAGTGGTTTTTAGACTGTTCGTTTTCAAAAATGTTTCAGAATCATACACATTAGCCCTTGGCACTGTTTTATGTCTGGAATCTGTCACTATCTCTGAGTGAGCATCTTTGGAAGCATAGAGGACATTACTTGCCTCTGTTAAGTAGGAAGTAGTGCATTTATTTTGCACAATAACTGGACTTAAAGTAGTACAGAAAATCACAACACTAGAAAGCATAGTGACTTTTATATACATCTATTGCATAATCAGATGTTCTATAAATGGATGCACTAGAATTAATAGTCTAGTCCAGACACTATAATAAATGGATCACATTACATTTTTAGCTTGAAGTTAATTAAATGTCTCAATTTGAGATAGCTTTTGAAAGGTAGATCTGATGGATTACAAAATCATTCAGATACTTTAAAATCCTGTAGAGACAAACGAGGGCACCACACTAAAATCCAGCCGCTCTTGTGTTGTCAGATCAAACTTTTGATCAAGTGTTGAATCAGACCGAGGGAAAATAACTTTTACTGTGAGAATGACCTCAGTCTGTTGAAGTAAGTGAGAGATTGGGTTTTAAATTTAAAATATCTGGAGAACTTAAGTACTTCCAAATGACAATGTGCTCCTTGGTGAAATCAAACTGCAGACCTTGGAGCTCCACAAGGAATTGTCATGTTTTATAAATACATTTGTGAAATGTCATAATAAAACTTGATGATACACTTGGTCTGGACAAAGGAAAAAAAAAATAGCATGTGCAGTGTATCAATCAGTAAGATCATGCTTGGGTCATCATCAGCATACTGTATGTCTTGGTCATGCCTGGGCAAATAAATGCCTTTTGTATAATAAGCCTGTAAGTTGTGGCTGTTGATTATGAACTATTCAAACCTGACTGCAGAAAATGGAGTAAAAGTCTTTGCTCACCAGGCTGTTATTTTTGTTTGTTGTTTTTTTTTGCCTTTGAGCGCACAATGCAGCTAGTCTACCACAATTACACTGTGCTTTCACAGCTATAGAATGTGAATACAACATTTTGAGTCTAGGCTTGTAACAGTAACAAATAGAAAAATCTATATACACTTGGAGTTTTTGCCAAAAATGTTTAATTTCGATGTTCAAAAGACTGGTTATGACAGTTGACCATCCTAAACATTTTGTCTTCTATGGCCATAGCTCAGACCATGGTGTTATAGACCAATTTGATGTGACAGTGTCAGGGTTTAACCCCTCAATCGATAATGCCATTAAGATGTCTGTAGTGGACTGCCTGTAATAAAATTGTAATTACTACTAAAATTATGAAAATATATACATATACAATGTACAGTTAATAGTTATATATGGTTTTGAATAAATGGAACTTGACAAGTTTGTCTGAAACAAATCTACTGTACTTTTGTCACACCAGTGTGTCTCATTTATATTACATCAGCAACATTCTTATAATATCTAATGGCATTGTTTAAACTACTGCATTTAGATTAAAATGTTTGTCTCCATTCTCAATCATACTATACTAATAAGAAAAGGAGATTAACAACTGTGAAAAGTGTTACTTCAGGATTTTCCCTCTTAAGCACTTTTACTGTCTCACTCATAAATCTCATTTTTCTCACTTCTAGAAATTAATTTTGTAGACAGGTATAACATTTGGACAAAGTTTTTAACCAAAGTCCACTGAGTAAATACATTTTTGGGTAACATGGCCCCAGAGACAACCAAATCCACAATCCAGGCAGTTCTAAAGATTTTCTCCTAGAATATAGTTATCATGCAGATGTGCTCTCATCTATCACCATTCAGAGAACTAGGGAACTAACTTGTGATGTAGTTCCAATGTTAAGAGATGAGATTGTATTGTCAATACAATAGACCAGTTGCGTTACTTTTAAATGTTTGCATGCCCTAGGTCTCAATTTCCTTTGCAGTCTCTGCAATAACTGACCCCACTATAAGATTTTTACATAAATACTACAAAATCAGAATGAGCTTAATTGCCAAAGACGTTTACACATATAAGGAATTTGGTATTTTGGTGCATAACAATAAACATGGTAGGTAGAAAATATTAAAGCAAGATAAAGGAAAATCCTGCACATCAAGAATTATAAATATGAATGTAAAAAATGTCTGTATCTTCATTAAAATATCCTCTTAGTAGCTCTTAAGAGAGGTGTGCATTGTACAGCTACCAAGAAACATACAGACACTCAAAATGTAAAAGTTCACTGTTAAAACCTTTTAAAAAATAGGGTATAGTGAATATGAAATAAATAAATTCATAAACACTAACCTATCTGTAGCCTCACTGTAGCCTGATTTGGCATTTATTTCAAACTTCATCTTTGCATCACAAAATAGAAGTGGTTTTATTTTGAAAAACAAGTGACCGGAAGTAGATATCCCGAAAGTCTGACACCGCTTCCGGTATCGCCACCTTCTTTGTCTCCGGCCCAACATTTCGACACCGGGAGTTGTCTATTTTCCTTTAAGTTTATAGGATATATTTACACATATATCCCTAGTTTTCTGATATTGAATGACAGTCGACTCTGAAATATTTATGCCTAAAAATAAAGCGCCAAAAATGGATGACCTGGACTACAGTAAGTGGGCTTAATAATTAGCTGTTTGCATAGGCTAACTGTGGCTAGTCGTAGCTAGTGGCTCAGTTTATTTGCTCAGGTGTGACTGATCATTCCGCTGAACAGCTAATATAAATGATTGACCAAGGTATATGGTCTCTCGCTTTGCAGTCGTGTCGGAAACGTATACTTGTAAACCAGCTGTTGGTTAAAATACGCCACAAAGATGCATAACATGAGCCTGACGCCAACTAAATATTGATTAACGTTTCAGCTAAACGTCGGTGGGCATTTAACACCCTGACCAGCCTCCATGCTACACAACGGCTTGTTAAAACTAGGCATTGCTTATACTGTTAAAACCGTCCTCCACCTCCTGTTAGCAGTACTCTGGCTGCTGTTGTATGAATCAAACCATACAGTTAATCCAAACTGTGGGCGTGGTTGGTGGTGTTTTAAACCAGCTGTTTGTTTTGCAGAGTAAACACACTGTTCTGGGAGGAACAGCCAACCTGCTTATCACAAGATGATACTTCGAGCTCTAGAACTGGGTAGTTTGAACAAAATAAATCAAAACTATATTCAGTGCACAATGCATATGAAAATGTGACTATTATATCATGGAGCTTCCAGACAAAACACCCAGTAGGCAGTTTAATAGGTTATGTTATACTTATATAAAATTAATCCAGTCTAGTACAACAGCCCTGCACCACACCCCACCTTGATGAAAGCATATTTTTGTTGCAGCTGTTGATGATGATGGTTGTGGTTTGGAGACTATAGCCTGTATTGCATTATTTTGTTTCTAATATTTAGTCTACCCTGGCTGACAGTGACAACATATCAAAAACTCCTCAACATAATACAATGTGCAGCACCACCACAAAGTCACCAAAGTGACAATGAAGTTGAGACAAAAAGTGAATATTATAACGTTTACTACGGTAGGATTTAGTGCATTGCTGGTGTATTAGACTGCTTAGTTTTAGATAGGTGTAAACTTGCAACTGGGTGTACAAGTCCATCTAAGTTTATTTATGCTGTCAAAACATATTTACACACCAGCAGTTCTTTAGAAATGTAATTTGAGATGTGACCATACAGGTAGAGTCATGTTTTGGCAAATAACTCACTGTAGCACAGCCTTCAAAACCATAAAGAACATGTATGATGTACAATAGCTGAAATTCCTGAGAAGATGGCCGTTTACTGTGACGTTGATATATCACCCAGCCCTCCACTGTAATGCCATCCTTAGCTACATCCCTTAAAACTGTGTTGATAGAATAGCTTTTATCAAGGCTTTCATGCTGTGGAAATTGCTTAAATTATACTTTGTCCTTATGCCAACATCAACTAAATAAACATAAATAAACTACAGATAAGCAAGAAAATATTTTTGTGATGATGTTTTCAAATTGTAAACAAAAGTGTTTTACAGTGTTTTAAAGTGAAGGGCTGGAATAGGCTGTTAGGACCAAACTGTAGATATTTCTCAGTCTTAGTAGTGTATTTTCTCTAAAACCTAAATATGGCTGACTCTTGAGTTTTACAGTATCCGTGTGCCTCTCTTTGTTGGTGTCTGTTGAGGTTGTGAAGTGTTTGTCTGCTCTGTTGTTGAAGTTTATCACAACTCATCAGCAGACATTTCTAATGCTGTCATACATTACATTGACAAATCATGAGCTAGTCAGTATTTCAGTATTTTTTTCACATTGTACCAAAAAAGTGTGCAGTAAGGACACTTTAGTGAGTAGGGAAAGGGTAGGAGGTACAAGAAAAGAAGAGATAAGGGCAAACTGTTTAAAAGTGTGGAATAACTTTGATTGAAGATCTTATCTTCATAAAGGTAAAACAAAACACTCAAGCGTCCTCACCCAGTTCTTTTACATTTCATGTTTTATATTCATATGCTAACTTCAGCTACTGCTGTTACTATCCCACTCCTTTCCATTGTAAGATATTGATAGAAGGAATTAGTCACAACCAATTTTAGTAACAATACAGTTCTCAAAATAGTTGTAGTGGGTTTTTAGGTTTCTGATAAGTCTTAGGGTGTTAGGGCACAGTTACCATTTGTTATATCTGCAGCAGCAGTAATGGAGTCATTCTTCTTCTCTTCCCTTATAGTCCCAGTAGACCTGAGCCCAGAGGAGCGCTCTGAGCTGGAGGACATCCGCAGGAGGAAGGGCGTCCTGCTGCAGGAGATCCAGCGGCTGAGAGAGGAATTAAGAGAGGCAATTATGGAGGTGGAAGGACTGGAGACCAGCACTGAGGGCAGGTAGGAAGAAAGTGCACGGTAACATTGGTACTAATCTCTAAATAATATCGTATTTAGTGTTTTTACACAGGCAAGAGGAAAGTGTGCTTTGTGCACAGATTCATTCACCATTCCCCCATATATCATCAAGTGCAGTTAGTCAACTTTGTCACTTGTGATTTGTTGCATTTTTTATGTGTTATGGACCACATTTTTCTGGTTGACACAGTCTTGTGGGCATATCCAAACCAACATATCACTCAGCACTCTAAGGCTACGTTTAGACTGCAGGCCAATGTGACCCAAATTCGATTTTCTTTGCCCAGATGTGATCTGATCTTTTTATGACAGTGTAAACAGGCCAAGTCACAAGGAATCTGATCTTTTCCAGTTCGGAATTGGGCCACATCCATATGTGGTTTAAATACGATCGGATCTTTTTAAATGCGACCTGAGTCTGGATACTCAGGCCCCATCCACACTACTCTCTTTTAGTTTACAAACGGAGAATTAAAACAAATACGATCTCCGTCCACACCAGCGTTTCCGCTGCGTTTTGGAGTTGACCCCCGTCTACATTAAAACGACTGAAAACGCACAGCTAGGACCCGTTCAGGTGCACTGGGCATGCGCGGGCAGACTGGGAGTTGTTGCAAAGTAAACGGCGACATGCACAGTACAAGTGTAGGCCGATGAGTGTTATTTGCACGGCACAGAATATTACGATGTCAAAAAGCCGGTCAGCAGCATTGTGTTTCTGCTTTGCAAGACCCAGTCAGAGAGCCGAGCGTGAGCGGCTGCGTCATCGTTTCTAAAGTCCTCAGTTTTGGCCCTTCTTTACTAAAACGCCCTCCGGATTTTTGACCGCAAAACGGGGTCGGCAGGGTTTCGAAACTTCTCCGTTTTCGTCGTTGTAGTCTGGACGGGAGGTGCAAACGTAGCGAAAGGGTTTAATTCGAAAACGCAGTAGTGTGGATGGGGACGTCACTCTAGAGCAGCTGTTCTGCTGTAGACGGAGCCGCGGTGAACTGAAAAACTCCACAAAGAGCCATTATTAAACATGTGGCTCTCTTCCTTCTCTACCTCGATATCATCTGCTCACAAATTCTTACACCTGAAATCCGCCGGACCGGAGCTCTCTTCTGAGTTACGTGCATGCTTCCTGTCCGAGCAGACACAGTGGGGAGAGAGAGGGAGGGAGTCTTTTTATATACAGTCTATGGAGTGAGTGCGTTGTCCAGCGCCAGAAACCGTAATGAAACTAACAAAAAGTTGTGAGCACTTGTCATAATTCGGGAGAAATGTGACCCGTGAGAGGACAATGAAAAACGTGAGTCTAGTCTAAACTGTGAGCTAGCCGGAGCTAACTTCTGTTGCTCCTTGTTTACTTCTGTAGCCTGCAACAGCGTGCTGCGTGTGAATAATGCAAAAGCCATTCTTTCTTTAATTTTACATTTTTGCTCTCTGTAGTAAAACACTACAGAAAAGTAGGCATGTGGCAATGGGAAGGAAGAAATTCAACATGGACCCCAAAAAGGTAAAACACTTAAATATTTGTATTGTCTACTCTGTCTTCACTCTGTCTTAGCTGTGTGGTGACAGACTCTTCCTCCTCTCCGCAGGGCATTGTGTTTCTGGTGGAGAATGAGCTGCTCAGACACACTTCAGAAGACATTGCTCAGTTCCTATACAAAGGAGAGGGCCTCAACAAGACTGCTATAGGAGATTACCTTGGAGAAAGGTGCTTTGTCTCAAAATATCTTACGTCCTTTTTCTCCTTTTGTGTCTGCCATTTGTAACTGTGATTTTTCTGTTGCTGTTCTGCAGGGACGACTTTAACATCAAAGTTCTTCAGGCCTTCGTTGACCTCCATGAGTTCACTGATCTCAACCTCGTACAGGCCCTCAGGTAAACTGTGTCTGTGTTTGGCTTGTTTGTTTTTTTGAACTAAGGATAAAATCTCTTGATCTCTTGTCTTGGCATTCTCTGGTAAACAAATGTCCCAACAATGGAACATCCCTCTCTCATTGTCAGTTATAATGCCAGGGAGGGAAACCATTATGCAAGAGAGCAGTAGTGACTGTATAACTCTTGCAGAATCTGTTTTCTCTAACTTGACCTAAACCTCGACCTGTTTTTTGCAGACAGTTCCTGTGGAGTTTCCGTTTGCCTGGTGAAGCCCAGAAGATCGACAGAATGATGGAGGCCTTTGCTCAGAGATACTGCCACTGCAACCCCGGCGTCTTCCAAAGCACTGGTAAACACATACGCTCACAATTACACTGTATTTAATGTAGGGTAGGCAATGTAACCTTCCTTGTGTACTTACAATATAGGAATTGTTGCTATGTGTGTGACTTGAGAGATTTCCTCTTTGAGCAAGTTTAATATTCCTCTGATGGATCACAGGAAGGAAGGTGTGCACTCACACAAACAATGAGCCCCTTACCAGAAATGACCTGATATGTAAATCCAAAGAGTCTGCCAATTTGTAAACATTGCTTTTCAGTAAAACCATTGTTTGTGTTTTATTATGTACTCGAGATGAGGTATTTTCAGCATTACCAGACTTGCTTTCAGAAAAAGTGACAGTAAAGAGTAATAGGTTTGTTTCAAATAGTCAAAAACTATAGTTTTTTTTGTTTGTTTGGTTTTTTTTAGCCTTTGTGCAGAGCAAAACTCACCACTGCTGTATTCTCTTTCATGCCTCTCCTGCGTGCAGACACATGTTACGTGCTGTCATTTGCCATCATTATGCTGAACACAAGCCTCCATAACCCAAATGTGAGGGACAAACCTGGAGTGGACCGTTTCATCTCGATGAACCGGGGCATCAACGAGGGGGGCGACCTGCCGGAGGACCTGCTCAGAGTACGATGAGCTCTTTGAAATATTTTTCTATGCAGATGGCTAACTGACAATTAAAATGAACCTACTAAAAAGATTTTAGTGAGCTTATTTTACAATATTATCTTTTATTCCAGAATCTCTACGACAGCATTAAAAATGAGCCCTTCAAGATCCCAGAGGACGACGGGAATGACCTGACGCACACCTTCTTCAACCCGGACAGAGAGGGCTGGCTTCTTAAACTTGGTGAGATGATCCCAGTGAGGCCTTTCTGCTTTGTTGCAGAGTACTTCTACACTACATATTGGCTTTAACACTGATCTTGTACAATTAAACAAATTCAGTATGTCAGTGTCACAGATTTCAGGATATGTATTGAATCAAATGAATGTCTTTATTGTCACTGCATTTTGCATACAATGAAATTTGTTTCTTTTATGAGAGATGAAATTTCCATTCACCCTGCTCAGACACACACTTGTATGCTCACACAGAATTTTTTTTGACCATTAATTTAATAAATAAGATAAAATATGATAAGTTAGGTGCTGTTATGTGCATTAGTCCATGGTACTGTAGTTAAATAGTTTTGGGGGTGGAGGGAGGAAGCGGGATTGGGGGGTGAGAGTTCAGTAAGTTTTCACTGAGAAAAGAAAGTGATATGTTCTGTATGCTATTGATCTGTTTTAAGGCTTTGCGCTATGATGAACCTGCCCTCTTGTCTCTGAGGGTTGCTGACTCTTTGTCTCCACTTGAATTATCAGCTCACATTGTTGTGGCATTTGAACGCTGCCATAGCATGATGGTGAACAAGACTCACTTTCTCACGTCATGGCAGTCTAAAAATCTGATTGTTTTCTTTTGCATGGCGGGGCCTGTGATCTCTGTGTCACTAATATAATCTCTTTCTCTTCCTATCTCCTCTTTTTGTCCCCTCTCTTTCTTTAAATCCTCTGGTCCCTTTTTGTTTCTGCTTCTTCCCTGCGATTTCCACCCTCTACTGCCGCTGCTTGTTTTCTCAGGAGGTATGTACTGACAGTTGTTGTAGTTAAAAAAGTTGTAGAAAACATTTGCCTCATAGTTAGTTGTAAAAATTTTAGTTGTAAAGAGATTTTAGAGTACTATCCATTCAACTTTGACCCCACCCCCCCAGGACACAGATTTTTTTCCTCTTATTAATTGCCATGGATGTTCTTGTGTTTCAGGGGGACGAGTGAAAACCTGGAAACGGCGATGGTTCATTCTCACAGACAACTGCCTTTATTACTTTGAATATACCACAGTAAGTCTTTTTATTCCACATGCAGTGAAATTGACATTGCTACTCTTTTCAATTTTTGCAGATTCATCTGGTGTATTAAACTGTCCTAACAGGATGCTGTTACTGTTATTTGCATTGTTTTTTATTGAGCAAATAGCAATAAAAATTTGTGGGGTTGTTGTGTTATCTTGCAATGAAATGCGGTAATGTGTAGGAATTGCAAGGTTGTTGGAAAACATTGGCAATAATGTACTGTGTCTGCTAGGAAGTTGGGTTACTGAACTTGAGGATTAGATGCATAACTTTATTAATCCCCTGAACAAAAACTGGTTTGGCTGCCCATGCACAATAAGAACCAAAGAGACGACATATCAAAGACTACCATTATGATACAAACACAAGCACACAAAACTGACACACATTCCAAGAGGACATTAGTGTAGCTCAAGACTGAATCTGACCAGTAAGTTATGGTGCTTTCAGACCAAAAGCGAAGTGAGCTTTGGGGGCAGTGCGTTTACATACAAAGTCAATGGGAGATTGAAAATCTGCTGGCCGGCGGAGAGCTGCTAAATTTGGGGGAGAGGAGCAGGAAGCAGCGCTTTTATTTGTTTTGGACAAATAAACACCCGTAGTCAGTCTGGATTATGCTCTGACAACTATGCCGTTTGATCGCAGGAGGAGCTCGGAGTAAACTGCTTTTATTAAATTAAGTTTTTACTTTAGTTTTTGGGATTACAACGTTGATTTATCTTCACTCAAGCTTCTCAGCAGCTAGTTCTGTGCACATCCAGTTCCAGTGTTGTTGTTAGCGTTGTGAGCTCTGTTGGACTACTTCATATTTATGTAAAAACAGGACAAAAATGGACATTGCTGGGAGAAAAGAAAACGAGGAAGTTGAAGTACGTGGTGAGTTGAGAAAACGTGTCTGTAGCTATCGTACTTTACTGTGAACAAGTTAGCATAGCGTAGCCCTGATTGACCTGAACTCCATTCAGAAAACAAACAGCAACTTTTAGAAGTTGTTGTCTTGCTGACTGACCTGATAAAGCATGAATTCATATGTTTAACAAAGCTGCATCATATTGTAGTTAGCTTGGCATCAGTTTGGTCCGTTTATTGCTATTTAATCACAGCGGATCACAGACTGTCTCTCAGACATATCTGCATGGATTACCACCTTCAACTAAGCCTCTGTAAGACTGAACTCTTGGTCATTCCAGCCAAGCAATCTATCCACCATAACATCAAACTACAAATTGAATCCTCAACTGTCACTCCAACCAGGGTGGTGAGAAACGTGGGTGTCATGATTGATGACCAGTTGTCCTTTTCAGACCATGTTACTGCTGTTTCTTGGTGGTGCCGCTTTGCTGTATACAACATAAAAAAAAAACAGGCCCTACCTCACTCAATATGCTACCCAGCTTCTGGTACAGGCCATGGTTATCTCTCGCCTCGACTGCTGCAATGCCCTCCTAGCGGGTCTTCCAGCTTGTGTGGTGAAACCCTTACAAATGATTCAGAACGCAGCAGCACGTCTGGTTTTTGATCAGCCCAAAAGGACTCATGTCACTCCATTACTGTCTGACATCCACTGGCTCCCCAGTCTCTAATGCTTGGATACAGAGTGACTACTGGATCTGCACCTATCTACCTAAGCTCCATAATACAAGTTTACGTTCCTTCTCGGCCACTACGCTCTTCCAACGAACGCCGCCTGGCTCTGCTATCCCTTCACACAAAGCAATCTCAGTCCCGGTTGTTCTCATCTGTGACACCACGATGATGGAACGAGTTACCACACACCATCAGAGTCGGGGTGTCCCTCAAACTTCCAAGAACCTCTTGAAAACTCATCTCTTCCGAGAACACTTCCTCTTATAACACCTCTAACTCCTAACCTCTAACATGCACTTCTTGTGCTCTTCCTCTTCTATCCCCTTACAATTATCTTGTATTGATTGCAGTTTTTGGTTAACTCTTACTTCTTTCCCAAGGTATTTACCCCATTGATGCGATGTGTGCTATTAACTCTTACTAGTATTTATTGCTCTTACAAGTATGTATTGTCAGTTGTAGATCTCGTGCTGTATTTTATGCTTTGTTGATGCTTGTATGTTGTTTCTCAAATGTAAGTCGCTTTGGATAAGTGTCTGCCAAATGAGTAAATGTAATGTAAATGACAGATTAATTTCATCTGTAACCTGACTTGTCATTTGAATGAATGATGAATTTCTGTTCATTCTTGCCCTCATAAATTCCAATTGGGATTAATTAAACAACACAAAATAAAAGCCTGTTGTTGATTGTGTGTTTCGCTAACAGGATAAGGAGCCTCGAGGAATCATTCCTTTGGAAAATCTTAGCATCCGTGAGGTAGAAGACCCACGGAAACCTGTAAGTTTGCAGTTTTGCGCACAGTGTACGCAGAAGTGATTATCATGTAATTTTCATAGCTTAGTTTGTCTTTGTTTGTCATATGTCCTTTTCTCCCAACAGAACTGCTTTGAGCTGTACATCCCCAACAACCGTGGTCAGCTGATTAAGGCGTGTAAGACGGAGGCTGATGGGAGAGTAGTGGAAGGAAACCACATGGTGTACCGTATCTCTGCCCCCACACCTGAGGAGAAGGACGAATGGATTCACAGCATCAAGTATGTAAATTGAAAATTGAGGGTTGTGTCACAGGGAAAAAATAGGGGTAGTGGTAGACCAGTGAGAAATGTTGACCAACGCTAGATATCTAGTTTAAGGTCTGTCTGGATGGTACATGTACCTTTTTTATTATACTTTCATGAGCAACCCCACTCAATAGTGTTTCTTTGTCACCTATACAGGTCTGCTGTCAGCGTTGATCCCTTCTACGAAATGCTTGCTGCCAGGAAGAAACGTATATCACTTAAGAAGAAGGAGGAACAACCGTAGATGATTCCCTTTCTTCTCTCCCTGTCTTCCTTTGTTTTTCTCACCTCTCCTTCCAACACTGGGCACATTTTTTCATCGCTGCTCCTTACTACCTGTTCATAAGTTTTATTACCACCCATCCTCCATCCCCAAACACATCCTCTCCCCAACATGAAGACCCCTTGCTATCCTGTCCACCAGACTCTTGAAAGCCACATTCAGAGTGAAGAGCTCACCCGCTGTGGCTGCCTCTTATTATCTTACACTACCGCTGTTATATACAGACTGACACACTACAGCCAGAGCACACCATCTATCGCGTCTTCTCACCACATTCCTCTCACGTTCAGCATTTAAGAGAACAGGTCTGCTGACTAGCGTGACTTAGACCATATTCCTACTAATGTTGGTGATCTCAAAAAAATCCACACTTAGCTAGCTTTTCAAGCTTGCTTGACAAATGTTCAAACACATGGAAAATGGAGGATTCAAAAACACTACAATTGTAGTTATCCTGAGCATCTTAATTCTTTTGCAAGAATCTTCCTTTTTTCTTCCTACTTCCATCTTCAGAGTTGCTCAGTAAACCAAAAACGGCAGTTATTTGGCAGATGTACTCAAGCCTGCTGGCTGAAGCAGCGTGTGCATGTTTGATAGGAGACATTTTTTATTCCTCTATTTTTCTGGTTTTTCAATATGTACGGCTTTTAGACAACTGGGTAAAAATGTTAGTGTGGAAATATTTTTGATATCCATCTGCATTAGTGTGAACATGGTCTTATTCAGGGTAGCAAGCAGCTCCAGTACTCGTTAAGTCACATTTATTGATGCAGATTAAAAGAGAAATTGCCTTTTTTTTTTTTTTTTTTGATTGTGCTTACCCCAGACAAAATGTGAATTCACTACTCAAACACTAACACAATGTTTATCAGAATCAGTTTAAGTCAAAGATGCAAGCAAAGCAAACGATTTCAGGTTACTGAGATGCACCCATTGCTTCCTGTAGTACTCTTAATGGCTTAGAGGCACATTACTACACTTAGATACCATGATATAAGGAAAATGTCACTGTTTGTTACTGTTTACATTTACACAAGATTTAAATCACCAAGTTACTGTTGATCTTCGACTATGGCCAGATTTCTCTCCTTCCAGATAGCTGCTTGTTTCAGCTCACTGAGACAACTTAAATGTTTTTCAGCATGTTTTTTAACATGTTTGAGCAATAGCAGAGAAAACCGTAGATCCAGTCTAACACTAAGGGTCATTGCGTCCTCTCAGATGGAATGTTCTAGCATGCCACAAGTCATTTACTTCTTACTCAGCATCAGCATCTCTCTCACAAGTAATAACTCTGTCAGACATTTAACTAGTCTGTCCTCTATAGTGGGTTTCAAGAAATCACAAAGGCAGCTCATTACAATGTATACCCTTTTTTTGTAAATAGATGTTAGCATATTTGTTTGATACACATAGAAATGATTTAATTTATTCTTTCTTTTGTTAAAATCTGATTTTTGTACGAGCTACTGTAGGATTGCATGTCAATCAGTCGTAGGTACTGATGCATCGCTGATCATGCTATAGTGCACTGATTTGAAAAGTTAGTGTTCCCTGTTGACTTTGAAAAATTGCATTTAATATGGAAATAGATATATGCATAAAGTAAATGGTCTTGATCATAGTGTTTATGGAAAATCAAGATATTTAGGAAATGTTTAGTATCTGTTGACCACCATGGTGGAAAAATAGATTCTGTAAAGCACAAGTTGTAATCAGTCTCACACATGTTTTTGTTTCATTGGCTACTCAGAATCAATTTGAAGTGTGAGGAAGATATCCATAAGCTGAAATTGGAAATTTTTTATCATATGCCACAGTGGTGCAAGATGAAGAGCATTGAAAACATGGAACACTAACAAAGCTTTGATTCATTATATAATAGTAAAATTATTCAGATGTAATGAATCATTAACAAGTTTAGATTTGTGTCCAGTGATAGATTTGCTTGACATCCAATTCATAAACTTATTTCTAGTAGTTTATTGGATTGGCATTTTTAGATGGTAGTGAAAATAATTGTCTACTGCACTTTATCAATTTTAGCATTTTGGAGAAAATGCTGTTACTATGACTGACAACTCTTTAGCACCCTCTATTGGTGATCTCACACACTGCAACATGCTGAAGGATGAACCATGAACTACTAGTAGAAATACTGTATAACGCCACCTCCTGGTCACGGCCAGCTATAGCAGTAACAGTTTCAGACTAACATGTACTGCATTTGTTGAGCTTCATTTGTTCACCTTATAAATATCATGTTGTTTGAAGCTGAATTGGGTCTCCTCTCTGATTAGAACATGCAGAACTTGTTTTAAAGACACAGCAAGTGATGGGTCCTTCAAATCCAGATCTACGATTGCCTTTTACTCCTACTTCATCATACTGATAAAGGGCCTCACTTTAGATCTCCATGTTAGTGCTTCTAGATGTAACATGGACTGTATGTAGGCCTTTCCTTTCTGGGTATTCTTGAAGTGCAAAGTTGCCAAAAACATGGTTGCGACAACAAATATATCCATTAGAACAAAAGAATTAACATTGAAGTGATCAGACTGAAACTGGGCCTCTGATTCCTGTGACCCCAGAGCAACCTCTTTCAGAAAATGTGTTTATTTTGTAATTATTTATTTTTTATTTACTGTGAGGTGAAGATGGATAGATCATCTGTAAATGTAGCAAAAGGAAAACCACAAAACATTGGTGCCAGTAAACTACTGTGTAACAATAAAAGGTAAACAGATGATGGATTGTGTATTTGTCTTATATTTAGCTGTTAAGTTATTTTCAGGATAAATTGTAGATCAACTTTGGTGATATAAAACTTTCCATATAGTGCCATCGTTGGGACCAAAAGCTAATATTCCCATTAGCCTTAGATGTACTTTGTTCTGTGCTAACTGGCAAACGTTAGCATGCTAAAATGCTAACGAAAATGGTTTACTAACTACTGAGCCCGGTGGTTCATGTTCACACAAGCGAGGTGAATGTCTGCGTCTTTATTCGCGCGAATTTGATCGTTTATTATAATAATAATCCTTATTTGTAGAGCACTTTTCAAAAACAAGTTACAAAGTGCTTTATTCGCCCGAGTAGCCGAAGTACCAGCTGTATTAATGTTCGTTGTAGGTAAAGGTTCGTTGCTAACTGAAGTCAGAACTCACCGGAAAATCCGTTTGTTTCTGGTTTTCTCTTCAGTCTCTCATGTTTCCTTTCGTTTCTGTGCGTTTAAAGCAGATTCATAAAACCTCAGGATAGGTGTGAAATTTTTGCTCAAGTTGAGCATGGCACGTTCAGTTCCCTATAATTATAATTACAATTTTTGTAGTTAAGTAATATCTGTAGCCTATGCTTAAGTAGTTCATTAGGCTTGTAAAGATTGGTAATTTTGGTGTGCAACTGCCATGGTGGTTTGTGATTTAAAGTAGGCCAGTTAGTCATGAAAGCTCTTATGAATGTGTGTTTCACTTGGGTTAAAGTTATTAATGATAATTACTAAACAGCCCAACGGAGATGTAGATTGTTAATAATAACCATCATGTATTCAGTCAAGTTAGACCTTTGAAAATGTATTGAAGGAAACCTGGGGAAGCCAGTTTGAATGGGCCTGATGTAGTTGATAAAATTAGAGCTTTCAAGTTTTATCTATAATTTACAGGCACTTGGCTTAAGTTTGTCAGTAGAGGAGATGCTGGATCATCCGCCAGTACAAGCACAGTTGACCCACATCCAGCATCAGCCAGTACTAGCAGACCCAGTACAGACTTTTTTAGCAATTCACACAGACTTAGGTGAAGTACAGGTAGCCTCAGCCAGTACGAGTAGAGCCAGCTCCAGATACAAGCAGCTCAGACACTAATGGAACAGTTGCTGCTCCACCAAATGACCCAGGAAGTTGGCCACCACTCTAAACAGACTTCATTATTTTTCTTATCCTGAAGACAAGTCTAGAAGAGGTTTCCATGCATGCTTATAACAGAGGCAGAAAGGAGGATTGTAGTGACAGCACTGCCGTATCAGGTGACAAAGACATCGACTGCGGTATCAAAGACATGTCTTTTTCACGCTTTTATTTACATTGTAATAACATTTGGAAAAAAACAACTTGCATAGAAGGTCAAACATCTAACCTGGCCTAAATTCAGTGTTTTATATACTGTACAATAACAAATATACAGTCAAGGCCAGAACATTTCAGAAAGTAAAAAGCCACAGTGCAATGACTTGACTACAAAACTACAAATACATCACTCAGACTTAAAAAATATTTAAATTTATTGGAAACCAAAGTGGTAAATGTCAGCAATTTGTTCAGTGAATAAACAGATTGTAGAGTTTATAAAAGTTTTTGAAAAACACGTACAATAAACTTTTACTATTAGTTTAAAGCAGTGCTGGATCACAATATCATGCCAAGAGTCCATGTAATAATTGTAAAACCAGTACAGGCTGTAAAATACAAAATTCTGTCTGACATGCTTTCAGTATTTTTCCCAAAGTAAAACATCACTTTATCTATAACAAATAGATCATTAAAAAGTATAACACAAATCAATTCTACATTTTCTTTGGTAAATTAGCTGTATTTCCTGTGGACACCTTTTTATAAAAATAAAAAAAAGATTATCCAGATTACAAATTTATTTCTCAGCACATTTCTATGAGTATTGTTCAAACTAACAACATACAGATTGTCACTTCACCACAACAGAACCTTTGTACAGTCTGCAAGTTTAATCACAGACCCTACAGTATTAAGTCTTATTAACAATATGACAATATGTCACATACAGCACTTGTCTGTCTGTTTAAAATAAAACACTATCTCATGATTACAGTAGAGGCCAAAACCTAAGGCCCAAGACCACTAAGTACCCTACATAGTATCTGTAAACACAGATTAGACTTTTTGTTATTTTTCTTTTTTAAGAGAGTCACTGACTGAGTTTAAAGAAAGGCATTTATGCTCAGTTGGTGCCACTGACTGATCATCCTGAACATTAACTGAAAGTCAAAGGGACTTTTGTGTTATTCCTGCATCTTTGATATGTGATAATGTTCTCAGTATGTTATCTCCAGGTTTTCCATTGGCGTGCAGCCTTTCAGTGACAGGGGTCAAAGGGGTATTTCGAGACACCTCCACGAAGCTCCACCTCTGTCTCGGACCAAGCAATGACATCTCCCCTGAGGTGGCTGCCGCAAGAGGCCAGGCTGTAGATGTCACTAGCTGACAGGACATGTGACCACATGTGCAGCTCTGACATCTCACCCACAAATGACTGAGTGGCATCAAAACGGCCTCCCAGTGTGTCCTGAAGAAGAGGGGGAAAAAACAGTCTGTTATCATTGCTTAATTTTGAAGATTATGTGAAATATGTGATAATATATAGAGTAGAATATAAAGCAATCTGTGATCAGGTCAAATGTTATGTTAAATATGGAGGTTTGATTAAATTTGTGTCAAGAAACCCATTGTAGAAAAATGTGAATGCATAAAGAAGGATAAGGACTTCCCAAATGAGAGTTGAATATGCTCAGTATGTGCACAAATAGCCAAAGACGGCCTGGACTGTAACATGATTTGCATAAGGTTCTCGGAGCTTCGTCTGGTATTTGTGCAAATATTGAAAGTATTCATGGCTCCCTTCCTTTTGTGAGAAAAATAGAGCTCACTCACACGTATCTTCTTAGACTGTAAAGTTTGTCTGCATCTGCAATCTACAAAGAATGAATGTCATTGTCTGTACCTGTTCCTGTCCCAGGATGAAGACCCCTCCAGGTTTGATAGGGTGCCAGGGGGAAAGATTTATCCCGGACCCCCGCTGCACTCCGTCCTGGTAGGCTTCCCACTGTCCGTCCCGTGTCGACCAAGTCACACAGACGTGGTGCCACTTCCCATCACCCAGCGACAGGGGGAGCGTCACAGCCTGGGGATGGGATAGTGAAGATGGTGTGACACTAGTATAAATACATCCTGGTATAATACAGTTAAGTACAGAAGCGAGAATATAGTTTATTAAACAGCACAAATATCTACTGCCTATTCAACCCATTAACTGAAAGGTATAAGCCAGAATTAACCTCTAAAACACACTTAAATTCTGAATCTCACAAGGAAAGACTGGACACTGAACAGCCTAAAGATGCAACCATATAAGTGAAATAAATGTTGTCTTGCTCAAGGACACTTGAGGCCCTGCCATACTGCAGCATCCTCTCAGTTATACCTTTTAAGATGCAACAAGATGTTTTGAAGCTGTTTAGACAGCAGGTATGTGTCTCTTTAAAGCCCCTGACAACTTGTCTTCAAATTTTAAGCATTTCTCTACAACATTAAATATTCATGATTAAATAGGTAATAATTAATGTTGATAAATCATTCTTAAATATATTCTTTAAACGAGGTTAACATGACTCAGCTATTAAGATTCTGATTCAAATGTTGTTAAATCCTAAAGTGTTCAGAACCTTTAACACTGTAACCACAAGCTAAGCTTAAAGGTTCATTGTTCATATTTATTGACAGAAATGCAATATAATATCCATACCTATGTTTTCAGTGGCGTATAAAGACCTTACATAATGAACCATTATGTTTTTATTACCTTAGAATGAGGCATTTCTAGCTACATACACCACGGGTCCCGTTCATGGAAGTCGTCATGTTGTGCCGCCATGTTTCTACAGTAGCCCAAACAAACAAACTACTTTACAGAGTGTGTTTCAATTCTTTGTTGAATACGGACGAAGAAAAAATAGTAGTAGTAGTCTGGTTTGTAAGAAGAGAAGAGAAATTTGGACAAAAAGAGGACCGCATCTTTTATTTAGTGCAATAGTTGGACGCCGTAGCTTCTACTACGCAAAGGGAGAGGTGAGCAGCGAGTGAGCAGATGGTTGCAATTTGCAACCCTCACCACTAGATGCCACTAAAACCTCCATACTGAACCTTTAACTCACAGAGCCGCAAGGTGTTTATTTCTTTTCTCCCTCACCTTGTCATCGATCAGCAGCTCCATAGGGTTGTTCCCCCACTCGATGAGCACAAGTTCATTGGCCTGTCCGGGTGCTGAGTAAGAAAACGGTGTCCCCAGGCCAGGCCCCATTCCCGCCTTGATCCAAAGACACAAAGTCAGAGCGAAGATTTCCTGCAGCAGAGTCCTCTTCACCCGCCCGTGCATGTAGTTGGTTCTCATGGGGAAGCTGATCTGGAAGGCGTCAGGACTCTGGGATTTCTTCCTGCTGGAACCTGTTTTTGGAAGAAAAATAACATCATCACCACTTTTGCTCATGTCATTAAGGTCCATTTAGTAGCTGTTCTGGTATGGAGCTTTCGATATCATATGCACTTCCTCAGCAGAATGATTTTGCCCGGTTGTCATAAAATTGTATTGTAGATGTTAAAATTTTCACTTAAGTAATTTAAGTAAATCACATCCACGTCCACATCTTAATTCAGAGTTTATTCTTGGCCTTGGAAACAGCCACTGACAAAACAATCATAATCATGTTTTCAAATGTCCATTTAGTAGCTGTTCTGGAGCTTTTGATCTGCTATTTCCACAGTCATGAATGAACTTTGAAACACAATGTCACTCCTGTTTTGAATAAAAATCTTAGAATATAATGATTGGTTGCAAAAATTGATCATCCAAAATAGATTTTTTGTTTTTTCCCCAAAAAGTACCTAAATAATGTCCCACATGCTGCAATTCTTACTTACTCTTATGGGAATCTATGCAGCTGCAGAATACACTGCTTACACAACTTACACTTAACCAAATGCTGCTTGATTGAATCACATAACGTTCATTCATCACATAACTCATTGGCTGATATAAATGCATGTTATGAAGTTGCCACCGTGGTTGTGTACCTGCAAGGTGCAGCTGGCTGAGCATCGTTTCCAGTTTGTTTGAGTGGAAACCATCCCGTGGTCCTGGTGCTCTGTATCCTGTGTGTGGAAGGTAAGTGTGACTGTCTGCTTCATTGCTGTGGTGGTCATTATCATCATCATCACCATCGTGGTGGCCGTCATCGTGGTTGTCATGGTCTGCGTCTGCATCATGATGGTCATCACTGTGGCTGTCATCGTGATGGTTGCCGTGGTTCTCACTGACGCTGTGACCGCCATCGTTGTGGTTGTTTTTGTGGTCATTTAGTTGTCCGTTGTTGTGGTGACCATCATTATCATGATGGTCTCCGTCGTCTCTGTGGCTGCTGTCATTGTCGTGGTGGTCCTGGCCGCTGAGGGCGGCGGTGCGATGGTGCAGCTGCTCCTCCAGAGCGCTGATCTTCCTCTGAAGCAGCTCCTTCAAAGAGCTGGAGTAGGCGATGGATGTGTTCCTCTTCTGCTGAGGGAGGAGAAAAACACACAGGTGAAGTCTTGAAAACAACGAGCATTCCCTGACACACATTCCCTGTGTTTCCTATTCACAACAGAGAGGATAAAGGAGTCAGTGGTGCTTTGTGTAGACACAAACTGGCCTCAAGGAATCATGTCAGCAGCTTCACTTCTGTGTCTTTTACACTTCTTTTATTCACTCATAATCTCATAATGTCAGGTATACTTTTGGTCTGCCCCCTCACTTTCATTATGTCTTTCTGTGTCTGCCTCCGCTTCTGTCTCTCTCAGGTAATCCAGGCTTTGCCCTATTGCGTGCCCTGATTACTGGTCTGTCAGGGGAGATCACGATAATTACTGCTGATGTTAGACCCCACACACACACACACACAGACACACATACACTCCACAGGTCCTGACATCTGTTTGTGATCACGATCCAAGGAGGATAGTAAGCAGAAAGATGATAGATATGTGTACCAAGAGGGAAAAAAACTAGGAACTAAAGTGAAAAACTGACCATAAGATGTGAATTTCAACCAAAACTTAAGGGTGACTTGTCAGTCCACTGTAACCTTTTTTGAGTATCTCACATAAGTGACGTCCACCTCTGAGCCTGTAGCTGCTCTGAGGCACCCACTGAGGGACATCAGAGTGACTCTCTTGCCAATGTAGAGTGGCTTTATGAGATTAAGTAATTCATTGTTCCTTTGTCTGAAGTACTTAGGGGACATGGTGCATTGGGACTGACAAACAATCCGGTGACGACAGCATTAATGTGTCCAAACAAGGAAACGCCTTATATGGGCATGCTGTGCATCATACGCCTCCCTCAACATCCAACTCGTTTTTTAAATTTAGCTGTATCATTTACTTTTAATTCACGTTTTAATTTTTATCCTTTTATCCTTCCTCTCTGTAGTTTTGTTCTATAGTTTATCTTTATTTCCAAGTACATATATGGAAAGAATTTCATCCTCCTTGCTGCTCACCTGCAGGTTGTCCAGCCTCTCCTTCAGCGCCTGCAGCATCCTCTCCATCTGCTCTGGTGATGATGTGATGTCCCCTGGTGACACATGTTTATCTTTCCCCTGGTTGTTGCTGCTGTGCCCTCCATCAGATAGATGCCCCCCCACAGAGGGGTAGTGCGGCGAGTCCGGCATGAGGTTGCTGTTTCCATGGTGGTTGCTATAGTGTCCGTTGTCAGAGTATGTGTGGTGGCTGTCCACCCCTGCGTGATGGGAGTGCGAGGCTGTGCCGTGGTGCTCGTCGTGAGGAGTCCCCCCCCGCCCAAGGCCCTCGCACAGCGTGAGCTTGGCCGTCAGCTCTCTAATGGTCTCCCTCAGGTCCAGGATGGTCTCTTTCTGCTGGACAAGGCTCTCCCTGAGGTGGAGGATGGTGGCTTTGGCTTCATCGCTCGCCCCCCACCAACCAGCAGGAGGTGCACTTTGATGGCCTGGTCCGTTGGGCCCTGTTGCTCCTATGCGTGGACCTGTTGCAGGGAAGCAGGCAGGGTCTGCATCCACAGGAATAGGGGTGCAAACAAAGCGTGGGTGGGCTCCGTAGTCATAGTCAGACCCTGAACTGGCACTTGCAGGGCAGAGGAGGAGTGAAAGTAAAGAAAACAAAAAGGGAACAAGCGACAGGTGTAGAGACTGAGAGTTCCTCATGATCTCCATCCACAGGTCAGCCAGTAAGACTAAGGAGCTTGGCTTCACTTCAAAATATGCGATACCAGCTGAAGTAAAGGTTATGTCGATTTCATTGTTGTTGCAAAGGAGGCATTAGGGAGCACGATAACAGAGAGATATCCACTCATCTGGGAGGAACAAATAGAAATCACATTTTTGTCTTCAAATTTGTATCTTCTTTGTTACAGGGAAGAATAAATTGTGTAAATTGATGTCGCCTTGTCTCTTTCTCTCTGTCACTGAAGACTGGAATAAACCTGTAAAACAAAATCAGATTTTAGATAAAGATCACACAGCAGGTGGACTCAATAATATAATCACCTGTACAATTCAGTACTTGATTGTACTTGAGTGTTGATTCAGATCTATCTTATATTAATATTAAAAATTGTATGCTTTTAACTGTTCTTGGTCAGTTGTTGAGTTTCCTTGAACACAAAGGACAGTCAGAAGAGGACACATTTAGACCCGTCTAACAAATACAAAGGTCTTCAGTACTCAGCAGTATGTCGTGGAGGATGAACACCTCAGCATGATGTCTCTGGCCCCAGTTAGCTGCAGTCTGTCTGACCAGTAACCTTACACGACATAGGCTGAAACAACCAGAGTCTGTCCAGACAAGGATTAGTCCAAATCAGAGGTGTGACATCCTTACTGGACCAGCCAACCAGACTTTCTAGTATGAGTTACTTTGATGGTTTTGACTTCCTGGAAGGCTACAGTGTCGTGCAATAAACAGACCCATTCTGTCTTTTAGAGTTGAATTTGGTGGTTATTTAAGTCTTTGACCAGGAGGATGATAATAAAACACGAAAAGATAGGGGACTAGTAGTGAAGAAGAGCACCGACACATTTCTATTTATGGAAAAATATTCTTTAAAATCGAAGTCCACGTGGTTTCATTTTATATCCCTATGTCTATCATACGGCTTGATGACCTCTCTGTGCACTGTAACATGTCCTTCATTATACAGGGTCGACATTTTGAAATGGCACACACGTGATGTGGCAGCTAAACCTCACTGACCACCTGTTGCTCGCTGTGATCGGCCTCTACTGTGTGTGTGTGTGTGTGTGTTGATAGTTCATACATGATTTACTGTATGTATTTTATCAATAATGAGTGGAAGTGGAGAGTGGAAAAAACACATTGAATATATCTGCCTTCATAGAAATATCACCTAAAGCCAATGCAGAGATTATTTAGCAAGCTACAGAAACTGGAGAAGAATAATTCATTGTTTTTTAATTGAGATCTTTGTAATAATCTTCTTATCATTATGACGGGGAAACAACCTTTGAGCTAAAACATGTTCTGTATGTGCTGTTGTGACTTGCGAGGCTTAGAGGATAGACAGATGGCTGAGGTGCAGAACCGTGTCACGCCCAGTCACCGCAGTTTAGCCCTAAGTTTATTACCACCCACAGGTCAATCAATTAACCTAATTGCTAGCAGTTGTTGTGCTGCCTTAGCCAGAGATAAGTGGGCTTGCATGCTTGTGTGTGTGTGGTAATCCATAGTGAACACTGGGGTCGTGCACCAACCCTACACCATATGGTCATGGTGGATATTTAAGTAGGGCGATTAGTCCCAAATTAAAAACTGACAACTGCAGATAGACCTGTGATTTAAAAAACGGTTGACTCTGACAAAATAAAGCACCCCTCTGTTTGTAAACAAACAAATTCTTATTAGACAGAGAGTGGATTGTGTTAAAACTATAATCATCCCGGTGCATTACAAGATCATTGTCAACATAATTTTTTCTGGCAGGATGTTCTACAAGAATTGGCTAAGACACAGCATTTAAGAATAGTTTTCTTCAGTGTAAATCACGCGGAGTTGTATTATCAATTCACATGGCTGGTGCTTCATAAACTTATGCATGTTATCTCTCTCATGTCCAGTGTTTAATGATATGCTGCCTTTTTGCTAAAACCCATGTGATGCCAAAAAAACGACTTGTTATCTTAACAATCCAGATTCTGTTTTCATCACTGCTATATTATATAGTATATTACATGTTGCTGTTTCTGTTAATAATAGATTATATATATATATATATATATATATATATATATTATATATATATATATATAATATAATCAATCTAGTTGGTACACCCCCAACAATAAAACAAGTCAAGATGGCATTAATTATCAGGAAAAAGTTTTAAATGCTATTTATTTATTATCTAATTGAACATTAGTTGTCACATGTCCAGTTCAGATAAAAGTAGAGACTTTTTTATTGTTTACAATGAATTCTCTTAAGAAACATAGTGAGACTGTTGTTTCATCCACCCACACTTAATTAGTACATACATTACGTTTTATTGCCATTTAGTTGGAATCTAACAAACTCTGCAGCCTGTTTCTTAAACATCTATTAAACAAAATATGTTTTATTGTAAAGTCTTTCAACCATTTACCCCTCTGTTAAACTAAACTTAAAAGGTTGCCTAGTTTTCCCTGGAAACTAAAAAACACATTTTGAAAAAAACATAATCATATAAATCTAACTCTAGTGTCCCTCTGTACTGGGGTTGAGATTAATTTTCATGCACGCATCCCATCATCCCTACCTGCATCTTTTAGGAAAGGGTTTGGTGAATGCAATTCAGTCAGATATGACAGACAAACATGTCACTGCAGATCCGTCAACTGCATTGAGTTACTGCAAAGTTATATGCAGCCAAAACGATAAAAAAGAAAGACTAACTAGGTAACATCAACAATCCCCAAAACATGTTACTAGCTTTCTTTTGCAAATTGATGCAGGTTAAGCTTTTTTAAACACAAAGCCTAAGTCTAATCATCATTTATTATTTTCATGTATGTGTGTGTGTATGTGTGTGTATGTATGTATGTGTGTGTGTGTGTGTGTGTGTGTGTGTGTATGTATATATATATACATTAGACCTACATAGCCAACATATGTTTATAATATTTTGTATGTATAATGTTAGTTACCCTTACTGACTTGAAATAAATGGTAAAAGGTGAACTTCTGTTTGTTAAATTAACATTGGAAAAACATCCTTACCTTGGAGTCTCTGAGAGCAGCTTGTGTATCCACACTGTGATCTTGCAGTGAGTTAGTCACACACTGATCAGATTGAGAGAGATTTACTCCAGTGGAGATCTCACCGCTTTCTATCCCTCCTTCATTGTCTCTATCTCTCTTTTCTCTCCTCCTCCCTTCCTTCAGCTTTGTTGTGTTTTTCTTGGAAAACCACACCTCTTTTCCTGTCGTTTGACTCATTTGGCATCTTACTTGCCTCTCCACCATCTTTATTTTTATTCTGGAAATGTGGTTACTTATTTTATAGTTTGGTCATTGATATTACCCTGCTCTGAAAACCTCAGTTTGACCTCTGATTTCCAATTATCTTCTCTAACAGGCAAAAGGACACAGTCCAGTACGTCGTCACACAGCTCACCTAGATCTCAGCACGGGAGTAATTGTCCTGATTAATTCCTCGTCTCTTCCAGTCTGACTGACAGCCATGGAGGCAGTGGCCCGACAGCAGATGGCTCCTTTTAAGGTCAAAGAAAATCAGAAAGGTAACACAAACACGCAAACAATGAAGCCAGCATGTTGATTACAGGATCAGACACTTATGCTTACATTAAGATCAGATAACAGGTTCAGACACACTGAAATATATCAGGCACCACCACTGTACCTTGTCAGGCCTCTGGGTATCTGATTACAACCTCATTAATATGTCATTTAATCTCCTGGCTGTACAAAGTAATTGGAAGCCCAATTCAAGGCATGGTCCCTTTTAAAAGATACTGGGTTAATAATGAGTAATATAGTCATTTTAATATCTTGGAGTAACTTTTTTTCTATTTCTTATCTCAAAATTGCTTGAAATGTTTTAGTAAATCTTAAATGCTGTCATTAGAGAAAAAAACGAGTAAGTCAGCTTCTGCCAGCTGACTTTATCCTGACACAATTTTTAGCCTTTAATCCAGCTAACAGAGCAGTTGAACAACACTTGAATTAAACTGGCCTGATTGCAAGAAACGTCCTAGCAGTTCATTAGACATGCATTGAGTATCAAGGATTAAATAGTAGTGAATAAGGTGACGAGTCAAAGTCCTTGCCATGGCTCTGTCACTTGTACTCTGTCTTCCTTTTAAAGTGTTATTACATCTTAACTGCCAGAGCCAATTCTCCTAGAAGTGTCTGCACATGATGTAACTGTTGTGGACAAATACACAATCAGCCATAACATTATGACAGCTGACAGGTGAAGTGAATAACACTGATTATCTTGTTACCATGGCACTTGTCAGTGGGCGGGATATATTAGGCAGTAAGTGAACATTTTGTCCTCAAAGTTGATGTGTTAGAAGCAGGAAAAATGGGCAAGGGGTAAGGACTTTGACAGTGGCCAAGGGAACACATAGCACCAGGATGCACTAAGGGAAGAAGGCAAGCCGTTGGAGGCAGGGTGATGCTTTGGAAAATTTGCTGCTGGGAAACCTTGGGTCCTGCCATTCGTGTGGATATTACTTTGACATGTACCACCTACCTAAGCATTGTTGCAGACCATGTACACCCTTTCATGGAAATGGTATTCACTGATGGCAATGGCCTCTTTCAGCAGGATAGGATAGGATGGGGTGGTGATGGAGCAGTGGAGACATGCCTTTGGTGTGAGAGACCCGGTCTCAATTCCCAATGTGACACAACCACCAATGTGTCCCTATGCAAGACACTTAACCCCTAGTTTCTCCAGAGGTGTGCGACCTCTGACATATATATATATATATATATATATAACAATTGTAAGTCGCTTAAAAGTGTCAGCTAAATGAATAAATGTAATGTAAATGTGGATAATGCGCACACACACACTGTGGCCATAGTATCATGTTATTGTCTTTTCTCATCAGATTAAGAATGTGAAAACAATAATTTTATCTACACACATTATAGCCCTCTCCATATAGCTCACCATGAACTCTATCAGTCTCGCATTCAATGAATAGTTAATGCCCTCGGTGTTAAGAAACTGGGCCTGTGTTGCATTTCAATCCTAATTTCTCTTTTCCCTCATTTTCTCATCTCACTACTTCTACTATCAAATAAAAGCCTAATAAATGCCAAAAATAATTATTTAAAAAGCTCTACACTCATTGTGTTTTGATACACTGTGCTTAATACACACATAAAAGTACAAAACATTGAATTTCATAGGAGGTGAAATTATCTTTTT